TTACATTCATTTGAATCAAGTACGTTTTCATTTAACCTCTCCGAAACTCAAACTTTCAAAATTAGGATATAATAAATTTTTAAAGTACAAACTTCTGCTAAATCGGAAGGATTAGTCAAGATTAAGCGATTCAAATTCTCATAAAATGTATACGACGTGGAATGAGAAGCGTAGATTCTGACTTTGACAAGAAATTACGGTTCCTCGGCTAATTAATGGTTTAGCTAGGTCAGTTGTGCAGCAGAAGTGAATTGTTGCTGTTTATTTATGTAAATTTGTATGTCCTTTCTTACATAACGAACCGGTAGTTTGTTTAAATGGACCTGCATTGTTCAATCGGCAGAGCAACAGACGTGGAACCTAGAGATTCCGGATTCAAATATCGATAGGATTACTTCCCGTTTTTTCTTCTTCCGAGGTAGATAAATGAGTATCAACCAGTGGGGAGGAAAGAAGACACTACGCACTATGGTTGCCAGCGCATAGCTACTGTCAAGTATATCTCTGAAATAAGGCATTCCTGTCTGATATCATAGAAATGAAGATCAATTTCCCACCCTTAAATTCACGAAAAGAAGGAGGTCAGAATGACCCCGTCATAAAAATGCAATGAAGAGGTCCCATGGCTCACTGTCTTTTCAGCCATGTCAGCTGTGCTGTAAAAGTGCGTTCTCTCTCGACTGTTGTTGATGTCTAGTTAGTTAGTAAATCTTTATGCCCTTTATTCTCTAATAACGAACCGGCCATTCGTTCATACGTTGTGTATCTTGACGGTGAACGTTCTCAGAATCACTGCCAATTCAGGTTACGCAAATAAAGTAATAAAGTCTCAATTTTTAACGTTTGTTTTTCGCCTTGAATTTATCCTGGAAGGCTGATATTATGAGTAAACGTTGCATTTGCAGCAGGTGATGTGCCTGCCACGGTTAACGAGCCCTTAATAAAGACTGACGAGTGTGCAGCTACAATGGAATCTCCAAAACAAGATTCGCCACTAATTTGCGTCTGTTGGTGGTAATGTACCCGCAGCATAGGTCATACCATGCGCAGTACCTCCTCCGCTCTCCCTTTTAAAAAATGTATTTTCACTGATTTCTCATTTCTGGAATGGTCTGAGAGGAAACCAGCAAATGTATGTGAGTTGCGACGTAAGAAGTTTTACTTATTAAATATGTTACGGTAAACAGCTTTCGTAATTGTGAAGCATGGAAATAATTTATCATTGTATGGTATCTGTTTCCTTCATTGCTTCCCTTTGTCTGACAAAAAATATGTATTTATTCTTTTCAGAAAGGCCCTCACTTACTTGTTGTTGTTGCTTATAAAAACCGGAGTCCGAGTGCTGTAAACTTCCTTTCTTGAGTTTATTGCTATGGCAGGCAGTACTAGGTGGTTTCCCGCAGTTCGACGTGCGGAGATGCGTAATAAGTACGTGAGGAACATAGTAAATTGAAAGAAAAGACCACTGTACAAAAATTCAAAGCGAGACAGTTCATTAGGTTGGCCTTGATATTTAGATAAAAGCTTGAGCGTTTGGTCGAACGTCGATTACATGAGGCACAACTGAGCGTCTCTGCACATTTACTTACGTGTCGCTTTCGCTTTCGACTTGCTACTAACGAAGGTGTCATGCAAGTGAAGTGTCGGATCATTGAGATTTCTTGTTCAATTGTTCAGAGGTCGAGGTAGTTCAGTCGATAAAACGGCGAACCTGTAACGGATAGATCATGAATTCGAAATCCGACTGGGCTACTCTGCTTTTATCTTTCTTACGTGTCAAGGACGAATGGAACGACACCCTGCAGTGACAATTTTTCTTAAGTTTCC